ACTCTTTCCAAAGGCCTTAAAACACCCAACTAGAAATATTTTGTATCTTACAGATAATGGATCAAAGTTGCACAGCAATTCTGAAGCTAGTAACTCAAAGCTTCCTAAGGGCTTTAAATTTATCCTCATTAATATAAGTTATCTTGTAGAGGACCCATTAAATATACTCAAAGTTAATCTGTACAACAGCATAATCTGTCATTTACACTTAACTAATCCTGACTTCTCACCTTTCTAAATCTAATCCTTTTTGCAGGAAACACCCTTACTACCAATGTCACTTGCTACTGAGACTTTGTTACATGATCTATCAAACTAAATCAAATAATAATTTAAAAACATTTGTCAAAGTATATCAAAGTCACCTCTGCATGCAATCCTTTAAAAAGCAGAAGGCATTCTTACCTAAACAGAAAAGATTGACAAATCATTATTGGTCTTTCAACAGAACTTGCAGTATTCTGGCACGGTGAAACCTACTGTAACAAACTACTAAACATGGAATAAGTCTTACACAGGTGGAAGAGTATATTATACTTGAGAGCATTCAAAAGCACTGCATGTTTTCATTCCTAACATTTCTTCGCTACAAGTCATCCTTGACTCACTTTTGATAAGAACATCACAACTAAATTAAGGGCTCCAAAATTCAGAACTACTTTCTCTACTCATGATACATCCGTTTTTCCAAGTATTTTGCTGTTAGAATGTAGACACTATTGAAATAATTTATCTTCCTAACAAGCATCCTGTAAAAATAGTAGCATATTCACAGTTGCGTTAACTACTTGCTTCAACAGACCGATACCATACCTTTTATGAGAAGGCCAAATGCCAGGAGGACAGCGTTTCATACTGAACATATAAACTGCAGCTTCAGCAGTAGTGAAGAGACGACAGAAACACAGAAAAGAACAAACTACAACAGCAGACGCTGCTCTTCCATCCTACAAAAAAAATTGCAACTTTGTTATTAAACCTAGTGGAAAAAGCATTACAGAAGTTACTGAAGAACATGCTATCTCCTTTTTTAAGGTAATGAAGTCCAAGGCCTAGTGCACTCATTAGATTTGAAGTTTGCATCTGCATGTGAAATGCTTTAATTTCATTTCCACACAATACAAAAGATACTACGTATTACCTGCTTCCTCAAATGTGAGTAACTGCTTTGGCTTAACACTGTTTGAAATTTTCAATAGATGTTTATTACCTTACTATCACTAATACCCATTTTTAAGTTTGTTTCCTGGCTGCTACCTGAAGCCCCAGTTCAGTGCTATTTTTGGCTGATAACCATGGACTTCTGCTACAAAAGAAGTCCTAAGATTCAGAAAAACTAAGCCACACTAAACTCTTCAGTCTTCTGACTAAGACTGTCTGAGATTAATAGCTTGTCACGAAACTAACAGAAGGAAATTAAAATGCTGAATGTCTTTCTGCAGGGACCACAGCTAAACACATCCCAGGTTCACCCCTATGTTAGAGAAGACTGAAGATTCAGACAGATAGTGGCTGACAGAACAGGACCTCTCAAGTTCTTTTGCTAGCAACATGGAACAGATTTTTTTGTAGTCATTTGGTATGTAAGTGTGGAAGTGGGGAGGAAGGAAAGTTTTTCCTCAACTTGTTTTAACAGGCATTTCCTTCAAAGCCAGGCTTCTGTTCTAACTATTACTTAGACCAATGAAAAGAAGGCCTGCCAGCACCATAAGAGCCAGATCTTTACGGAGCAGTTCAGCAAAGCAATATTATTACTGCTGCTTTAACTAGCAAGCCCAATGATTTCCAGAAGTCACTAAACTAGTCTATGATTCTATGGGCTGGAGCCTGCCTTTCAGTTAAATTTCACAGATGGAACAAAAACATAGTCCCTATCCTGAGATGCCTACACTTAGGACAAAACATTAACGAACACCAGGGAAGAATGAAACAACACTGATCAGTTTGACAGTGACCTATGTACATTTGCATTACAAAGCCACTTCCTAATTAAAGCATCATACTGAGTGGAAAAAAAACACTGTAAAGTAGTCAGCAAGCAAGTCACAGCAAACCCTTTTCAACTGTGGCATGAAGTCAGAGGACAACTTAATAAGACTTTAAAGACCACTTTACAACCAGAAATATGGCATACAAAATAAAGAATCTTATTCATTAGTAAACAAATCTGATGACAGAACCCTGCTCTTCAGAAAAGCTTGGAAAGTTGCAGAATGGGAACAAAAGAAACATTCCCAGAGACCCAGAGATGAGCTGGTCAGAATTTCCATTTTTCCTTATATGCTTTTTACAAGGATGATTGGCTACCAAAATAAACAATCTTCAGGCATAAACAATCATTAAGGCAGCAATGAGAAACAATGATTGGAAAAAGCTAGATTTTGAGCCTAAGTTTTGTCCCAAAGCATCAAAAAGCTAAAGGATTTTTGCGTCTAAACTATTTTGAAATAAACTTTATAAAATAAATTAAACATAACTTTTCCTAGTGTGTGTATAATTACCTTAACTTGGTTCATTTAAACACAAGCCAAATCTGATGGAACACTTAAGCACACTTAAAGAGCTGCAGCATACCCAGTTGCAAGTTTCTTTGCCATTAAATTCCACCAAGATGATCTTGTACTCACACCTTCTTAAAAGCTGTGCAAGTTTTCAAGGATGACCACACCACTGCATGGCCCCAAATAATTACACAGAGCAAAGTGTTACTGCACATGTCCAGCCTCTGGCATACAGTCTTTATATCAACAGAACAGTATTGCAGTTAAAAACAGCTCCCAGTCATTGCCAGTCCAGAAAGACTTAACTGTAGCTGAAGCGCAGAGCTGCCATTTAAACCTTGTTTTTGACTAAGTCATTTAAACCAGTTTCAACTCAACTGGACAAATCACAATGTAAAAATTTAACAGTACACTGCATTATTGCAAACTTCTACAGTAAAAGATCAAAAGACCTACCTAGTTTCACCTTTACAAGGTGAACATTCTATCTCTACCAGACTAAGCACACTATTGCCCTTCTGGGCTGCAAGGACACATAGCTGGCTCATGTCCAGCTTCTCATCCACCAGTACCCTCAAGTCCTTCTCAGCAGGACTGCTCTCAGCCTGTATTGATACTGGTGGCTTCCCCAACCCAGGTGCAGGACCCTGTCCTTGGCCTTGTTGAACCTTATGAGGTTCACACAGGCCCATTGCTCAAAGCTTCCCCAGGTCCCTCTGAATGGCATCCAATCCCATCCCACAGGCATGTCAACCACACCACTCAGCTTGGTGTCACCTGCAAACTTGCTGAGGGTGCACTCGATCCCACTGTCTATGTCACTGATGAAGATATTAACAGTACTGGTCCCAATACAGACGCCTGAGGGACACCAATTGCCACCAATCTCAATTTGGACATTGAGCTGTTGACCACTAACACCTAAATGCAACCATTCAAGCAGTTCCTCATCCACCCAACAATCTATGCATCAATATACATCTCCAATTAAGAGAGAAGGATGTCATGGGGGACCATGTCAAAGGCCTTATGGAAGACCAGACAGACAACATCTGCAGCTCTTCCCTTGTCCTCTGATATGGTCACTCCATTATAGAAGGTCACGAGGTTGGTCAGGCAGGACCTGCTCTTGGTGAAGCCATGCTGGCTGTCTCAACCTCCCTGCCCTCCATGTGCCTTAACATAACTTCTATGAGGATCTGTTCCATGGTCTTCTCAGGCACAGAGGTGAGGCTGACAGGTCGGTAGTTCCCAGGGTCCTCCTTTGTATGCTTTTTAAAAATGGGTGCAATGTTTCCCTTTTTCCAATCTCTAGGGACTTCACCTGACTGCTCTGAGTTTTCAAATATCATGGCGAGTGGCTTGGCAACTACCTCAGCCAATTACCTCAGGGCTCTGGGATGCATCTCATCAGGCCCATAGACTTGTGTATGTTCAGGTTCCTCAGGTGATCTTGAACCTGATCTTCTCTTACAGTGGGAGGGACTTTGCTCCTCCAGTCCCTGTCTTGCAGTCCATCCACTCAAGAGGTGTGGGAAGAG